GAACAAATTTTCCCTTCTCCCGCCTTTTTTTTCTTCTATTCAGGCCCTCACAGTGGTGAGGGAAGATCATCTCTATTCTGATTCAAGTGCCAATCTTTTCTAGAGTCACCAGGCACACTCAGAAGTAAAGTTTGCCGGCTATCTGGGCATCCTCTAGCCCAGTCAAGTAACCATATAAAACTGACCACTGCTTCATGTAAAGCTGAGGTCCTGAGCCCGTGATCTTGTGCACCAACCTGGAGTGCAGGAAGTCCAGGTTCCCATGGCGCCAATCCTCAGCCTAGGATCTTTACTTGGTTGTCATTGACATCATTATTACAACATGCTCACCTAGAAGGGCTTATGTTTTGAAGAGCATTGTTTAATGTACCCTTTGCTTTTAGTGTCTAGCCTCCCTGGTAGCTAGAAATCTGATCAGCAGGGTCCAAGTGCTGTCTGGATGTAACTGACGCAAGACAGAGGCTGTGCCACAGATGCCTACATAGCAAAGGTGTGATCAGACACTATCAGTGCAGGGGAGCATCCCGCTTGCCCCATGCCACTGCCACCCCTGAGCTTCCTGGCCTCTGTGACAACAACACACAAAGGCGGAACGTGTGCTCCCGAAGCCTGCCCGGCAGCTGCCAGCTCACCAGCTGTCACAGCATGCCTTTAATGGGTCTGTGAAACCCAAGAACCTGACCCACCCCTCTGGGGAGCTGCCAAGCTGGGAAGCAGGGTTCAGGATGCTCACCTGTAAGAGACCAGCACGCTGCCATTCCAGGCAGGTTGCTTTATCTGGTTCCTGGGATCCCCTGATTTAAAATAAGTGCATAGACGGCAGTAGAGTGAAATTGTGAATTTGTTTTCTGCTCACTTACCATCTTCTTTGTTCCTCTTGTTTAATTTTAATTCCATTTTCTGCATACTGTGGCCCTAGCTGTCCAGTCTCTGGTATTCCATGAAAGTGATCATGATCTAGCGTCCCATGCTTCTTTCCACTGTGCAGCAGTCCAAGCCTTCAGGAGCTGCTGAACTAGTTGGGAAAGCACATCATGGGAACACTGAGAAGCAGTATGGGGATGAGGCCGTAGGGATGACCTGAAGCATCCTCGGATTAACCCGCACCCACAGATGAACTCCAGAGGCAGCCATAAGCACCCTGGAATTGCTTGCATAATTCTGTATATGCACAGTGCATATTTTTGTGGGTAGATTCATAGCTCTCATCAACTTCACTCCAAAAGGTAAAGAACCTGTTGTGCGTCAGCATCTGTCTCACTTTGGGTAGTTGGTTGCTGAAGGTTTCGATGAGCAGGTCAGACTTGACCTAGGTCTTAGAAAATAGTATTCAGAGAATAGCAGGTAGAAGACAGCCCTGAAGGGGAGGATTTCCTGGAGGTATCACGGGAAGACTGTTATGTTTAGAAGCAGTTACCTTTCCTCTCTTAAACTCAGTAGAGTACAAATCTGTAAAATGGCACTAATTGCTGCCTGCTTCTTCCTGGAGTACTAGGAAGGCCCAGGATATCGCTCTCTCTCCCTCCCTCTCCTCTCCCTCTCCCTCTCTCATCTCTTTCTCTTTCCCCATCCTCCTCCCCTTCCCTCCCCATTTCCCTTCCTCCCTTCTTTCTCTCATTCCCTTACACAGCGCTTGACTCATACCAGAGTGGAGACTAATCAATATTTGATGAATGTGTGCGTTAAGTGAAATAGTAAACGTGAGAGGGCTTTATAAACAGCAGAGTTTTTCTGCAGCAAAAGATCTTTGTTGCTAAGCATGTGGACCCTGTGCTTGGCCAACAACTTGTATGAGCTGAGCACCTTCTACTCCTGAAATGGACGTTGCCATGGAAAGGGAGCAAAGAACCCCCATCTGAGGGAGCTTCTCTGAGCCTCCCACATGAACAACAGCTGGGCTGTCAGCTCTGACAAGACGTGCAGTTTCCTAAAAGCCCAGAGGTGACCTCACCCACCAAGGGCTTGGCCTCTTTACTGCAGCATCTGCTGATCCACGTGCACCTGTAGCTCTGCTCTCACTGCAGGTCCAGGAGACCCCGTGTGCCATCCTCTCCTCCATCAAGGGGCTGTCACGGGTGGAAGGGCAGGACCGGCAGAGGGTGTTGCAGAGCTCCCTTCTAGCATAGTGAGCAGGACTACTGACTGTTCCATCTCTGTGACTTCTCAGGACAGTAGAAACGATCGCCTTACCCTTAGCTGATCACTTTTGGTTTCTTCCAGTTTCAGCTGTGCCCATGCTGAGAAATGCTAGACCCTCTATCAGTGTGTTTTCTCCTGTGTGCCATCCAGGAGATGGGGTGACTCATCATCGTGACCATAATACGATCGTGACCACTTACAGGTTCGCTGCACGTGCCAGCAAGGGAAGCAGTGTGGGAGCTGATAGGATGGGCTCCAAGCTAAGAACGAAGACCTGTGCTCCAGATCTGTCACTCACAGACTTCGAACATGTCATTTAATCTCTCTGAGCCCCTAGCTCCTCCCCCTTCAATTAAGGTGGTACCTGTACTTCCACTTAGGATTGCTGTGATAATCAAGGTTTACCATGTGGCCTCACTTGGGGTAAGGGTAGACACGCTTGTTACGATTATCATGTATGTGTGTGTACCTGTTAGGTTCAAAGTGCTTACTATGTGCCAGGTGCTTTTATTTTTATCCAACATGGTCCTTGCTGCAGCCATCTGAAGTCACATGTTTCTCCATGTTTGGGTTCCTGCCTCAAGTCAGTCAGGTAGTATGTGTCAGAGTATCTCTAAGCCCAGATCTATTTCCATCTCACAATCCTTTCTCCTCTATGCTGTTATTCTGCCCATTAAAATACTACACACTTGTCTGGCCTTCACCATCTGTCTTTGACTAGGCCCGCTCTCATAGCAGCACCTTTCTTTCTAGAACATTTTCCTAGAGCTTTCTGCTTCTTCCTCATTTGGTTTCTGATACTCCTCTTTGCCCTGCTGCCAGCTCCCCTGCCCTGCCCTCCAAATGTGGCACACAAAATACTGACTGAGTGCCCTTCAGAGGCAGGTGTCCTGCTGTGGTGAAGGGAGAGAACACTCAGCCCCTCGCTGCTTTCCAGACCCAGAGACCTGAGAGTCTGCAAGGAAGCTGAGTGTCCGGAGAGGAGGGACCCAGGCATTCTTGTCATCCTCTCTGCTGACACCCTTCAGTGTGTGTGTCCCCGGCAGACCCCTCAGGAAAACAAGGCTGTAGCTCTCAGTCTTGTCCGGTCAGGCAGTGGGGTCGCTGACAGGAAGCACAGACTGCTGGGGAACCTTGCTTCGGTCTCTTGCTCCTTTGAGACAGGACAAGAGTTGTTCGTTCCACTCCAGAGATAGAAAAAGGAGATGGAGGGATTTGTTTATGCGTAGACCAGAAAGGTTGTGTGCTTGGTCTGTGTCCTCAGGAGCCAGGCCCCCGGCAGCTTTGGCTAATGTTGGTTGAGTATTGGCTCTGGGCTTTATATTTTCACTGTGTTTCTCTAGCTCAACTCCAGCCCGATCGGCTAACACTCAGCACCCCAGCCCAGTTCCCAGGGTCTCGCTCGCAGATCCACATCCCAGCCCTACTCAAGTGGAGTGAGAAGGGGAACGGGGTATCTCCCCGTGTCAGAGTCCTCCCTGACAAGCATGTCCCCGAATATGCACACCCAAGTTGGGCTCCCTCTTAGGGAGGTGCACGTGTGGATGCTGCCCATCTGCAGTGCCAGGAATCCACCCTACAATTAGTTAAAAGATAAATCAGAGCCAAACTTGCCTGATGAAACTCAGGAGCCAGTAGCGACCCTTGCCACACATATAAACCCCAGCAGGCTGGCCAGGGGCCTTTGTCTGGTCAGGAGAGTTTAGGATTATCTGGCCCACTTTGCTGATGTATGGAGGCACTGGCTGTCGGCGTGTTTACTAACGGTTATCACCACAACGCTTTGGCCATTATCAGAGGCAGGGCCGCCCGCCGGGGCTGGGGCTCGCACCCTCTCTATTACCACCTGTCAGTGACGGAGAGTGTGCGCTGACACTCTGCAGTCCTGCCGGCTGAGGGAAGATAGTTTCTGACGGCTGATCAAAGAGGAGAAGCAAGGCCTGATAAAGAGTGTGTGTCTCGTGTACTTTTAACTTTGAGAAACATTGGCATTTGCATTTTTTCCTCATCTTCCTGGTGCTGGCAGGAACCAAGCCCAATAAATGGAGTGGATTCAGTTACCTAATCACTGGGGAAATGGTATGTGCTTAAAGCAACAGAGCATAACTACACTCTCCTTCCAAGGGAGAGTGGACGAAATAAGCTTTCACAGAAGACTTGCTGTAGAATAAAGTAAATAATTTAAATTTGGGGCTTTGAAGTGATCTTACATGTAACATCTAATCTTGGCAGTTAGCGGAACACCGTGTACTCTTTGGAATTGGGGCGCAGCTTTGGATTAAGGAAGGGTCCTTGCTGGAGATGCTATCGCCCGAGCACATGACTGGAGTCCCTGAAGTGGTGCCCATGTCCTGGGCAGCCAGGAGGCGCTCTGCAGTGGGGTGGAACGAGCTCTAGATGAAGGCATCAGCGGGTCTGAGTTCTTTCTCCAAGTCTGCCGCAAACCTGTGTTTATTCTCGGACCGTACCCTCCGAGATTTCCAACTGTAAAGTGAGGAGATTAGGTGTAGGTTATAGGGTGCAATGGTTTAAAAGTTGTGTTTTTAAAATTCAAGCAGTGCAACGCCTTCTTTAAATGAAATTTTAGGTGGCGGCCCGTAGTATCGAATAGGAAGAAGTAGAGGGGTTTGGGTCCCCTTTCCTCTTCGCGGTTCTTCCCGGAGACCCTGGAGGCCAGAGGAGCCCCATCGGTCCTCACTCAGTTTTAAACCCACTCGCCTCAGAGAGGCCGTCCCGGAGGCCTGCACACTCCTGTTCAAACCCTGGCCCCTGTCATGGAGGAGGATTGGGGGTGGGCGGACAAAGACAGCCTGCCCTCTACAGGCATGGACTCAATGCCACCTGTCCCATGTGCGCCACAGGTACCTTTGACCGGAGCGTGACCCTGCTGGAGGTGTGCGGGAGCTGGCCTGAGGGCTTCGGGCTGCGGCACATGTCCTCCATGGAGCACACGGAGGAGGGGCTCCGGGAGCGGCTCGCTGACGCCATGGCTGAGTCCCCAAGCAGGGATGTCGTGGGATCGGGAACAGGTAACATGTCATTCACTGGACATCTAGCCTGACTTGGTTGTGATGGCACTTGTTGCTGGTTTACAGCTTCCTTGGCAGGGTGAGGTGTGTGTGTGTGTGTGTGTGTGTGTGTGTGTGTGTGTGTGTGTTTAGCATCTGTTTCTTCGTATTCTGACTGTGGTCCATTTTCGAAGCCTGTGGTTTTGGGAATCCCAGGGGAACCATCCCCTCCCAATGCACAATGCATACAGAAAATGCAATGAGAAATGCAGTTGTATTATATAAGTCTCTCCCAGAAGGGCGCCTCCAGGGGAAGGCAGGCCCAAGTTCCCAGCAGGGCTAGGTACCCAGTGCTAAGGCAGAGCACCTTCTTCATTCTTGCTTGAGACTGTTTAAATGGGCAAGTGTCAGTGGACCCACCAGCCCTGGAGGGAGCAGGCTCGAAGCAGCCAAGGCTGGCTCAGCCCCAGCCTTTTCACATGCTGCATTTCGCTCCGGAGTCCTGCCCTGAGAGAGTCCAGCATCGGGGTCTTGAGTGGCTTCCTGTGTGCTTAGGTGATCAGAAGACATCCTCAGATGAGGAGTGAGCCCTGTACCAAGCACACGCGCACACACACCCTGCTCTCAGAGAGAGCAGAATCCTTCCATCTCCACATGACTGTAATACAGGCTGCCTCTCGTTTCTCCAAAATACTTTCACACTCTACATCTTTGCTGTGGTAACTGCTCCCGCCTGCATGTCTGCCTGCCCCAACAAGCCTCCTCCCAGCTCTCTGAGGTCAGTGGGGACTTCTTACTGTGTTGTGCAGACCCTGGCTAAAGAGCCTTTGCACTCTTGTTTGCCTGAGTCCTTTTCAGACTATGATTCTTTACTCTGAATTGCTGTATCCCTGTCCCACATGCCTGCCTGGAAAGGGGAGCTCAGTAAGGAGAAACTTAAAATTCTGGAGCAGGTCTTCACCAGGACCAGCAAGATTTAGAGGAAGACCATTTGGGTTCAGCTTAAAGTGCCTGTCATCATCTCACTGGGCTGTGGATTCTCCAGGTCTTTAGATGTTTGGGCCTGGCTCTCAGCTTTCCTTCTGTTCTTCCCCAGCCCGAGGCCAGTGCTACCAGGAGTTGGCTTCTTGGCCTGCCCAAAGAGCCTGTGTGTCACTGGCAAATGAACAGAACGGAATAGATGGATACAAGGCAGGAAGGGGGGAAGAGTTTGTGCAGAGCTAGAGCAGCACCTTATCAGGCCCTAGGAGACAGCTATCACTGAGAACTGGCCCCCTCTAAGCCCCCTTCCTCCCGGAAAGAAAGGTGTGGTGTCAGAAAGGACAACAAGCTTGTGTCTTATGCCACTGGGCACACATGTGCATGGACACAGCAGGACCACACCTGCCCTGTCCCCTACCCCAAACTCGAGGACAGTACATCTTCAAGTCATTGCTGTCCCACCTGGACGCAGAGATGAGGAACAGCTGGTCCACTTCCTGGGCTGTGAGCCAGTCTCCTTAGGGGCTGACCTAAGGGACAGAAGCTTCTCCCTTCCTGAACCTTGCCTGTGGCATAGCCTTCCCCTGCACGTTGGGGGCCCTGGCCAGCCACAGCTCCTAAGAATCAGAGTCTGGGGTTGCTGGACTCACTCCCAGGAGCCTCCCTCTTCCAAGGGCCAGCTTCCTTTGCAGCCACCTTTTCAGATGCCCCCAGGTCACCTCAGCGGTGTCCAGCAGGCAGTTGTGAAGGTGCATTCAGTGGAGTTGTGGAGCTCCAGGCTGGCATGGACAGTAGTAACCTGAGCAAAACTGGCAGTGATTCATCTGCCAGACAGCTGAGAGATTCAGGAGAGTCTTTGTTGGCCTTAAGGAGGTTTGTGAAATTAAAAAGAATTTAAAAAAAGAAGAAAAAGGAAATTAAAACTGCCTGACCCATGGGTCAGAAAACAGGAGATTCCCTTTTTTCAGCAGAGATTTCATTTTCTTCCTCAAACTGTCAGCAGAAGGGGTTCATTTTTGTCTTGGACCATATTAAATGTTTTCTTTTAATCTGCTTCCACGTTTAAAGGTCAGTAAATAAAGTAGATACTATGGAAGTAAACCAGGCTCCTTCGCTGTTGTTGAGAATCACTTTTCACATTTCTAACCGGAGATACAGCCTCAGGCTGGTGGCACAGAGTACGTGGCCGGGCCGAGGGCAGCCCTGCCCAGAGATAGCCAGGGAAATACAGGCTCACGTGGGGGAAATTTTCCAGCCACTCACCCTTTGCCCATCTCAACTGCTGTCCCCATCTTCCTTCCCACAACCCTGCCCTTCCTGTGGCGCACAGGACAGAGCGACACCGAGGGTTTGCCTCTGTTGGGTACTCTGATGCGCCCGAGAGAAGTCAGCGGCCTCTGCCTTCCCGCAGGCTGCTCACGTGAGAAAGACACCTACACACGTGAGGCTGACCTGCACCTGCCCCCGAAGCCTGGCAGATAACTGGCTCACACAGGGTGAATGAGTACTCTGCTGCTAAATATTTAATAAGCAGCCCTGATTTGTGAACTTCTGGAGTATGAAAACTCCTATTGTTGCCACTTTCAGGCAGCTAGCCAAGTTCCGGAAAAGGTAGCACTCACTGCTAACCTATACCACAGGGCAGACGAGCTGTCCTCAGAAGTAAAAAGCAAAATCTTTAAACACCTACCTTTCAGGGCTGAGGATTTAGCTCAGTGGCGCTGTGCCTGGCTGGCAAGCGCAATGTCCCGAGTTCAATCCTTGGTGCCAGAAAGACAAAAAACAAAAAAAAAACCTGCTATTCAGAGGGGAGGGCAAAGGATGTTGGTTAGGTAGGGTGAATAAATGCTGTAGCAGTGGGACAGTAGTCAGGAACAGTATACCATATTCTCGAAATGGCTATGCCAGTGGATTGTAAGTGTTCTCACCTCAAAAGAGGTCAGTATGTGAGGTGATGCGTGTGTTAATTAGCCGTCCCACAAGGTACGCATGCTTCAAAACATCATGTTTTACACAGTGAATACATATAATTTTTGTTACTTAAAAAAATTAGCTTTTTAATTCTGTACTTCAAAAGAAACCATTAGCAGAACTAAGAGACAATCTACAATGTGGGAAAAAATTTTTACCAGCTGTACCTCAGACAAAGGACTATTATCAAGGATATATAAAGAACTCAAAACAATCAGTCCCCCCAAATATAAAGACCCGATCCAAAAATGGGCATCCGAAATGAACAGACATTTCTCATACAAAGAAGTGAAAGCAGCAAGAAAATATATGAAAAAATGTTCCACATCACTGGTCATTCGAGAGATGCAGATGAAAACAACACTAAGATTCCACCTCACCCCACAAAGAATGGCTGCTATCAAGAAATCACACAATAACAAATGTTGGCGGGGTTGTGGGGAGAAAGGAACCCTCCTCCATTGTTGGTGGGAGTGCAGACTAGTGCAACCACTATGGAAATCAATATGGAGATACCTCAAAGAGCTTGGACTGGAGGTTCCATTTGACCCAGCCATCCCTCTGTTGGGTATCTTTCCAAGAGAACTGAAAGAATCATATCACAGAGAAGTATGTGCACCCATGTTTATAGCGGCACAGTTTGTAATAGCTAAATCTTGGAAACAACCTATTTGCCCATCCGTTGGAAACTGGATAAAGAAGTTGTGGTTTTTCTATAAAATGGAATATTACTCAGCCATAAAGAGCGAGAGAATAGATTCATTCATAGGAAAATGGATACATATTGAAGATATACTCCTAAGTGAAATAAATAAGTCCCACATGTGTAAATACCGAATAGTTTCCCTGGTGTGAATATTCTGCAACAATGCATAAGATTCTAATAAGATTACTGACATTTAGAAATGGGAGGAAAGGAGCTAAAGGTGTAGGGAAGGGGTGATACGTAGGGGAAGAACAAAAAGGGAAAAGAAAAAAATGTGAGAGAATGAAAAGATGAAAATAAAGTGTTTGTAGATGGGGAGGGGAGGAGGGGGTGAAGGGAGGGCAGAGGTAAGGGGAAAAAAATGAGAATCAAGACTTGCCATGTAAAGGTACATGATCCCAACAATGAATGTAACTGTACTGTATCCCTAAATGTACCAATGGGCTGAATTGCCTTCTTGTTCATGTCCTTAGGCTCTTTGCCCCGGTACCCTTCCATGGTCTCCTTCAGTAAAACTCCAGTTTGAAGTCCATCCAGCTCTGCTTGTACCCCTGGGTTGCTGAAAAAAAAAGTCACAAATCACTCGGATTAGCGCTTCTGCAAATAGGTGGCCACCTGCCACTGAGCCCTGATGCCTGCTTCCTAGCGCCCTTCTCCTGCTCTGTTTGCACCCATCTTTGCAGAGAAACAGAGCCTAGAACGGAGTCCAGCCCACGGCAGATGCCTGCAGCCGTGTGCTGAGCTCTGCCTGGGGCTGGCAGTGCTGCTGCAGCCCCTGCTCACTGCTCTGGCTTTGGGCCTACTGTATTTCCATTCTTGGAGAGATTCCCCAGATCTCTGGTCCATCAGGAATGCATATCTTATTTTGGTTGTTTTTCCTATTTTGCTCTTTTAGTATATTCCCGTGCTCTGTCCCTCATCTCAAAGTCAGTCACTTTCTTCCGCATAAATAGTACTTCAAGCTTCCCCATTCCCAAGTCACTTACCCCACCATCTACCTCATCTCCTGCTCTCAGAGAGAAATGGTGGGCATTAATTGAGAAATCTCTCCGCTTCCGGCCACTTAGATTCTAAACATCCCTGTGTCAACTGTCCCCTGGCCTCCTACAGCAGAGGAGAAGCAGTCCCTAGAGTCCCGGCTTGCCCGGCCACTGCTGTCTCCCCAGGGTCATTACTGGACAATGGGTCACCTCCACACTGGCCCTGTCAGCCCCCTCCCTGTGTCTGGAAGTGCTCTCCCTGTGGCGCCTGCTTTACCACAAGCTCCTGGTTTTCTTCTGCCTCTGGCTACTTTTCAGTCCCTTTTCTGGGTTTCCCTTCTGTGTCATCCTTAAGTGGATTTCTCAAGGCCCTATCTCAGCCTCTCCTCTTCGCCCTCAGTACATGGCAGCCTCTGCTTCTATGGCTCCAATTACTATCCCTAAACTGATGGTTTCTAAATAATTTTCATATTGGCTCCTGTCCTGATCTCCAAAAACATTTGTCCAGTTAGTTATCTACCAGTAAAGTCCACATTTCCAGAAAGTGAGCTCCTCTAACCTTTTCCTTCTTCTGGTTCAACCATCATCACTGTGTGTACAAAGCCCTTCAGGAACAGCCTCTGCCCTCTTCCCTGACCCATCTCCCACTGCTCCCTGCCAGTGCCAGCTGAGGTGAACCCCAAGGGCTCTGAGCACATGTACCCTGTCTGCCCACCAGGCCTCTGAGTGCACTTATCCTTTTGCCTGGAGTGCTGTCTCACAAAACCCCTTCCTGTCCCCACCATCCCCCTCAAAATAACTTGACTAATTCCTGCTTAGCAGACATTCTTTTCAATATTATGTCTTCTAGAAAAATAGATTTTTAAAAAATAAATGAAACATTGACATTCCAATTGTTTTGTGTCTAGGTGAAGATATAACTTAATACCCCCCAAAAAATTTTTTTTCCGGATAAACACCTGGGTATACATTAAGTACATTTTCTCTAAACTTTGCATCGCTCATTACACCTTATCTCTTTTCTGCGTTCTCCCACGTGTCATATCAAAAGCCCAGGCCTCACGCACAGGTCCCAATCGCCTGGCTCAAGTATTCTGGACCCATCTCTGGTGCGGGCTGCTGCTTTTGACTCCCACGAGTTCATGAAGTCGGCTCTCCAGGCCAATAGGGACTGGCTTTCTAATAACTGTTGCTCCCCAGTCCTGGGTTCGGGCGCCTCTTTCCTTCACAGTCCTGTTTGGTTGTAAAGGTGGCCGGCTTTCAAGACTGTCTTTTTCTGCCCACCCTGTCCTTCCCAGTCCCTGCTCTAGACCAGAAAGAAGAGCTTCTTGGCCGCCACACTAGGCTCTGCCTTTGCCTCGTCTGTCATAAATACATTTTATTTCCTAATTCAGTTCACCCAGATATTCAGACCTTCACAAAACAGTATTACAGCCAATGCATTCTAATACTTTCTATTTTATTTCGTTTTTTTAAAAATGTGGTCATGACCCACTAAATTGATTTTATAATACTTTGATGAATTGTGATCTGTAGTTTAAAAGCAAGTGCTCTAGCTTATTCTGCTAAATCCTCTTGAGTTTTCCTGTCTGTATGTTAATTACTCAGCCCAAAAGGCTTTACAGTTGTTTTCAACTAAAGCTCTTCCAAAGACTTCTGTTAGAAACTACTTTTATTTATTGAAAGGACTGTGCATTTTTTTTCCTTTTTAACATGAAAAGCATATCTTGAGCATTATGCACAGTTTTTAAATGGTGACAGAAGATTTAGTAAGTTAATTAACAAGTATCTGCTGATTGCCTATTGCTTTGTAAAAGATGATCTTAAAGCACTATTTGTGAGCACGCATGTGTGTGCACTCCCACATGGGCATGTATGCACAGTACTAATACCCTTCATTGCAGGACTGCAGAGATTAAAATCTCAATAAATGGGAGCCTTTGCAGCTGCAGTTGATGAGATGTACCCTAAAGCAGATAACTCCATGTGTTGGACATCCTACCCTACCTGTAGGAGTAATAGTAACTTCAGGGACCTTGGGACTCCTGCTGGTCCTGCTGTTGAGGGCTGGGAACATTTTTGTGCATTTCTTTTTGTTTTGTTTTGGTATCGGGGATTGAACTTGGGTCCCTGTGCTTGCAAGGCAGGCCACCGAACTGCTGAGCTAAATCCCCGGCCCTGTGCTTTTCTAATTGGTGCTGTATTAGCTGCCTTCCTGTCACGAGGTGCCAGGGTGGTGCACTCATTCTCTGGTCTTTCAGCCATCCCTACTCACTGGTCAGACCTGTGTTCAGAGCTGATGATCAGATCGTCAGTGTTCACCAGAAAGCTCCCTGACCACATTGGACTTTGCAGATATTTCCGAGGCTGTAGCACTTGTTACAGTTTTCTCATCCCAGGGATGAAAAATCTCCAGCTCCGAGAGAGCTTTGCCCCCATCCACTCGCACCCCAGAGATGTGTTTCCCTGCAAGGCCATGTCAGAGGCAGCCAGCAGTGTGCAGTCTGGGTCTCTGAAGTCCCTTTCCCAACACTAAGGTTTCCTAAGTGAAGCGAGGGCCCTCTCTGAACACGCTGCCTCCCCAGGGCCGGTGTGGTGCATAGCCCCGTGGGCCACAAAACCTGCCATGTGCAACCACTAGGCCACTTTGATCTGTCTGTGGCATCTTCTCATCCCCCTTCCCACACCTCTCTGTGTTGAAATGCTGTTCACTCTAGGTACGCTGAGCTGAGGAAGGTTACAAAGAATCCCTCTCCACTGTGGGCACCTGGTATGGCAATGCCAGAGACCCAGCCTTGAGTCTCCCCTCTCCACTTCCTCCACTGGAGAGGGGAGAGGGTGATGGTCCAACTACTCTCACTTTCTCCAGGCACACACAGCTTCTGGTCTGGTCTGACTTTCTTGCCAAAGACTCTGGGCTTCTCTGCCTGCTGCCCCTAAAATGGCCCCTGTCCCCGCAAGACCAGGTTTTACTGCCATCACCACCATCATCTAAGGAATGTACACAGGATTTTTTCTCTCACTTACAAAATGCTCTCTGTGTCTTCTGCCAGTGACTTCCTCCTCAGTGCCCCCATGCACTCTGCCTGGTTGCAGCAGGCAGGCTGTGTGTAAGCTTCTGCTATATCCGACACCAGGTTGGAGAACGGGCAAGCCATAGGTCTCTTCCTCTCAGGCTTCTATCTCCAGCTTGCCACTGGGGCCCATTTGTTGAATGACTAAGTGGGGTTTTTGTGGCCTCTGAAAAGTAAATGAAAGCCAGTAAGAGCAATGGGAATCATTGTTACGCTTAAAAGACATATTTGTTAGTTTTGGGCTGGGTGGTTTCAGACCTGATTCTAGATTGATTGCTTTCTCTTCCACCTCACCACCTCTGTTTCTCCCCTCTGGAAGATCCCTACAAAGGCACAGCTCCAAGGGAGTTTAGTCAGTGAGAAGCTCTCGTTGCCTAAAGGCTATTTTAAACTGTAGCCAAGCTGCACTGATCTTGTTGACATGAAGTACCAGTGTGACTTCCTTGGTGGCTCTTCAGAGTCCCTTTCCACCTCTTGTCCCCAAATGGAAGTAGAGTGACAGTGGAAAATGTACAGAGAGCCGGGGAGGGCTGTGGGACCCGAGAGCCACGCCCCTCCTCTGGAAACTTTAACACGGGTGAATGGTTAACAGGAGGGAGGATTGTTGTCAGTGCCTCCTCCTCTGCCAGAGAATCCACTTTTAATCACTGCCCTTCTGCGAAGTGAGAGATCGGACCAACATAGGGCACAGTCATGGGTGGTTAAATACCCACCTTTCCCTTGTGCCCCACCTTCTCAGAAGCTAGTGGGAGGTGTGCATACCCTCTAGATGTGATGGATGGAGGAAGGGGCGACATCACACACACAGAAAAGGGAAGTTGGAAATGACCCTCTGACTAGTTAGGAACCGGAATCTTGCATCTTAATTACCAAAGAGAGCAAGAAAGCCAAGCCATGCCAACCTGCCTGCATTTAACAGAGGACACATTTGGCAGTGCCCATACCAGAAACAGCTGCCGACCTCTGTTGGGAGGTTGGGAATCTTAGGAGATTTCTCCGGGTTCACTCCTCATCTGTCCCACCCCTGCCCTGGGGACCTGCAGGCCCACTGCCTAAGATGTCGTTAAGTTTGCTGGCAAAATCCTTGAGCACCAGACCTTCCCAGTTTCCCCCAACATGTTTTCATGTAGCTCCATAGCTTGCACTTCCACCCCTCTCCCACTTAATTGGGCTCGGGGAGAATCGCCATCCAGTCGCTTCATGTGTTCAGGACGGCTTTTTCCATTTTCTGTCCCCACCCCCGTGCTCATTTATGGGCGTGTCCTCATCGTCTCCAAGCCCCAGTTGGCCAGGACTCCACTTAGATGTATGTGAGTCCTTAGGGTGGGTTGGGGGAGTGTGAGCCAAGCCTCCCAGACCCCACCAAGGCTGGTCCTTGGAAGGCTTGGAGCGTCTTTGCTTTCATGCTTTATTCATTCCGAGCTGCTGGGAGCTGCCTGTGAGCAGTTAGTGTGTCTGAGCACATTTTCATGATCCTTCCCTAACTATCCCAGCCTCACTGCCATAAAGTTTTGAATCCAAGAGGAGGAAGAAACCCTGAGGGGCGGGTCCCCAAGAGACTGGCTTCCCTACTGCACTCTTCCCTGCCATAGCCTTGTGTGACAGACGGGAACATAGGAACTCAGTGACTGAGAAGAGTAGGAGTGGGGAGGGTGGCACTCAGGGAGGCGAGTGAGAAGCCTGAAAAGCCCGGCTGAGCTGTGCCGTGGAACAGACTAGAGTCACCCCCTGCAAAGCACTCAGTGGTCAAACCAGGTTTTGATATCTGCTCAGCTCAGTCTCAGTTCTTGCTGCACTCATAAAGGTCCATTATGTGACTCTCCTTAAAGAAATGTTTTATTTTCAATGCAGACACAGCCCTTGAAGTAGCAGTAGGACACATCACCCCTGAGAGACACATGGCTGTGAAGTGCTTGGGTATGTAACGGCTTGTCTTTGCCTACACAGAAGGCTGCGTCCCACAGTCCTTTTTGTCCCTCAAGTGGGTGCCCTCCTACCCCTGGTGCTTGAGCTGCAGGGGCCACAGGAGAAAGGGCAAGAGGTCAGCTCAGACAGGAGGTCCCTTCGGCCAGACACTGGTTTGGGATGGGGAATAGTTGCCATCCTTCGCCCAACAAGAGTTTCTTTGAGGACGCCACTCCCTGCCCCCCACTCTAAAGATGGAAGTCAAATTTTCGGACTCTGCTGTGCAGAGCAGAGAGGTCACTAGGCTCTAATGCATTTACCATTGACTGCCCCTCTTGTAGTGCGTCTATTAGTGAGTAATTTGATTTGTACCTATTCATTTGCAGTCCCTGCAGGAGCCTGGAGCTGGCCCCTAGTATAATTGGTGCTGTCTCTATTTTTACATCATTAGATTAGCCCCGACTCCTGGCCACTTGTTGTCTGCGCTTGTCTGTCCATTTATACAACCTAATGTAACACAAAATTCATTACTGATCACATTACTTTCAACTCTGAAGCCAGCCTTGTGATAAACATTTGGTTAACCCCTTCCTGCCCACGGGAGGGCTGACAGGACAAATGCACTTCTCCTCGACAGGCAAATCAATATCTTAATACACCAAAGTGGAATTGCATTTCTAGATTTGTTATTCCTCCTGGAGGAGCAAATGGAAAGGCTCATCTGAACGAGCTGAATTGAATAATGAATAGCGGCCCGGCACCAGCAGCCAGTCTGTGCACACAGCACAAAGGTACAGCCAGCAGTGGCCCTTCCATCTCATGTGGACAGTGGCACCACAGCCGTTCACTGTCCCCACCACACCATAGCACAGGGCCTGAAAGCACAAATGAGGACCCCCGGGGGGGCAATAGAGACCTCACCCCAACACTGTTCCTTTTGTTATACTTGCTCAAGACAACTGGACCAAGAACTCACTTATTTTCCTTAAAACCTTATCCATGCAAGGTGACCAGGTACATAGCCCTGACACTAAATGACACCCAGAAATTAAATCCATTACTAAACTCAAGTTTTCGTTTGGAAACAAAATTTAAAAAAAAAAATTCTTGTTTATAGCCAGCTCAATGATACTGTGATTGGTCGGTGGACACCAACTCCTGTGTGTGTATGTGTGTGTTTGTATGCCAGCAAGCATTCTTTGGCACACAAATGTCATAGTTACTTGTATGTGGCTCTTGTTCCCTGGTTGGGATGTTTGTGAGCAGTGGACTCTTAACACAGGAGCTGACCAAGGGCCTTGCAGGGACTTCAACAAAACTTTATGTAATAGTAGCAGGAGAACACATCAGTAGAATATTCTAGTATATTCTGCCCCACTCCCACCCTGGTCAACCCCTCCCCAGCCCTCATTTGTCTCTGGGTAGCATCTACACCCACATTAAGTCATTAACTCACAGGACAGTTTATTTCAAAAGGAAAAATACCCCCACTTATTAAGAAACTCTCATAAAGTCTGTACCACAATGATTAGGAAAATAGACAGAGGAAATAGAATGGTACCCATTACCATGAAAGTCATAAATCCCTAAGTAAAAAGAAACCATAAACTGAAGATACTCAGGTGGGAAGGGAAGCTGGAAAAAGCAGCCATCTCTGGAATGTTCTGCTTGACTACAGGGAAGTCCTGAGCAGGAGGCCAAGGAGGAGAGGCCTGGAAGCCTGTAATTAGCCAGTATCCCTCCCATTAAGCAGGCGGGGTCCTGGATCCTGCTGTCCCTTAACCTGTTCAGAGCCCTTGCAGGGCAAAAACAATGAGCAGTCCTTTGAGACTCCAAGGAGTCTGAGGGAGTCCTTGCAGGGGCTCAGATGCCACTCTTGCCCTTTCTGTCAGACTGAGTCCTGGGGAGGGCTGGGGGGCATAGGAAGCCCCATGCAGCAGTCCTGGGGCACAAGTGGGAGGTAAGTGTCGGGGAAGCACCTCACCTCACTTGCTGTAGTGCGGTGGCAGTGGGGACTTCTGGTCCCAAAGCCTCTAGAATCAACTCTCAAGTGCTTCCTATTATGAGGAGCTACACAGAAGGGATGCCCTTGGCAGGGTAGTACAGGACACCCCCATTCTCAGCAGTGGGACACAAGTCTGAGGTGAGCCTGGGCACAGTGGCTGCCCCATCAGTGGTGGAGACATGAAGTCCCCTGGCCACCCAACCCCCAGTGTGCTGGCCTGCTTGGTGTCAGGTGGGTAAGCTGGTGGGGGGGCTGCATCTCCCACACTGGCCCAGCCTCAGAAGCTCTAGAAAACAGATAAGAGCACAGGCATTTACCTCACAGACTAAGACAGGCCAGTGGCAGTGAATCTGCCGGTGGAATGAGGGACTGATTTCTTAACCATGATGGAGCAGGGGGAAAGCCACATCTTACCAAACTCTTCCACTGTGTCACAGAGAATTTAATTACGTTTGGACATCTGAATGAGAACCAGATGTGGCTCTGGCCCCGCCGGCCAGCAGTGTTCAAAGTGCAGCGTCTGTCCTGTGGTCTGCGGGCCCTGTGTTATCTCATGAAGCTGGAGGCCAGCTCGGGAAGTCCCCTGCCTGTGAGCTAGGGCAGGGGCTTCCAAGCCTCATGGCTAGGCTTCAGGATGTGGGTGGGCCCAGGTCAGCTGCCAGGCACCTGGTTCCCAGGGAGTGTTTCCAAGCCCCGTCTCTGCCGCAGAGCCATGCCAAATGGGCTCACATGCCAGGGCCTGAGACTCCTCCGGCCTGTCACAGGACCCACACACGAAGAAGTCATGTTGCACCTCCCGCCCAGACCTCCTCTGTTCCCAAGTCATGTCGGCCATGCCTCGTAGCTCTGAGTGGACTGCACATATTGCTCCTGGGGCCTCAGCCTGCTGGGGACACCGGATTCTCCTAGCCATGGTCTCTGGCCAGTGTTCTGCTGCTTAGGGCGCCTTCACATCCTTTCCTCACAAGAGCCTCACACGCTCAGTAAAGGCTCTAGAAAACACCTTCCCATCCTGAGAAACAGATGAAAAGCAAAGTGACTTGCCCAGATCCTTCAGCATGTCTGTGACAGCTGGGTCCACAGCAATATCTTATTCTTGCTCCTCCTCTTCCTCCTCCTCCTCCTCCTCCTCCTCCTCCTCACTTCACCCCTTTTCCCCTCTTTCTCCCCTACCTCCTCCTCACTCAGTCCAGGGCAGAACTAGGCCTAGTCACCAAATACCTCAGACCGAGAAGTGTGAACCAGTCAGCTCAGCCTTTCTGTTCGCACGTCTAGTAAGCTTGACAGGACACTCTGTCTTGTTCAGCATTTAGAGTTATCCTGGGCATGGGCTGCCAGTGAAGGTGGTCTGGGTGGGTAATCCTGCCACCCTCTTCTTTGGGCTGACCTGGGTTTCCTGGAAGTAGAGCCCTTGAGTTCAAGTCTTGCCCTGCCCGGCTTTGGTACAGGTGTTGTTGGGGGAACCTGGCAAAAGGCTCCAGACCCGCAACAGACCAGTGCCTCCTCAGGCTCAGACCCCACTCACTGCCACTGGTCTTCAGAGTGTGAAGGGAATCCGGGCTGTGCTGTGAGCTCTGCCCCCCAGTACATCACCCACACACACACACACACACACA